GAGTGAGGCAGAGAGAGAAGCAATGAGTATTAGGGAAGCATACATAACAGAGACATGGTGCGAATCATCGGTGAGGCGAAGCTGTCTATGCAATTCATATGAGAAAAGTAGAATGCATACTATTTAAGAACATTGAGTCATAAGTCAACATTTCGATATCAAGTAAGAATCAAACTATACATTATATAGATATATGCTTGTTAAGTAAATGTGAGAGGTTTTTTCTTACATTTAGAATACTCGTAGACCTGAGCACAAGGATATCGGTTTAATGTCGAAAAATGTACTCCAGTTACGGAACACTTGTCAAACTTTTGAATAGAAGCTGCAGAGAAATAGACAAGGAAATAAGTTATTAGGTTCACTTAAGCTTACTCACATTATAGATCCATCCATTTGTGACAGTCTACTTCACCAGAACGATGAGTGAAAGATGTAACGTTCACGATCCGTGAAGGCGCAAAACTGTTTTTCAGAAGTGGTAAAAGAAGTTTGGTCAAAGAGAATGGACCGATATAGTTTGTAGCAATCATCCTGACAAAGAGGAAGACAAAAACAAATAGTTTCAAGAATACATGAGCTAACTTTTCGATGTCAAAAGTGATGGAAACCAGATTTACCTGTCATATCCTTGAATGGTTTGTCGACTCGAAGTTGCCAGTATCCCAGCATTGTTCACCAAAAGCTGAATCGAAGGATGTAACTCTGAGCCCGAGAGCCATTTCTCTAGAGAGTTTTTAAACTCGAAGATTGATTGAAAACAAGACATGTCAGCTTGGAAAGTCTTAAGTTGGGCATCTTTGTTCTGGCTCTTAATTTCCTTCAATGTCTGTCATAAAAATCCAAGAAAATGACATTTTGCATCAAAAGAAAAATGTAAAAGAGAACATATGTACTTAGTTCGACAGAGCGAAAACAACAAAACGATTGTAAATAACCTCTGAAAGAAGCTGAGAAGACCGTCCAACTGAAAAAATCAAGAAAGATTTCATCTCCATTAGCAAACAGAGAATGAAACTTTAATGTTAATCCAATACTGATGCATCATTGAATTTTCTTACCAAGAACAACATAGAAACCCTTGTCTGAAAGAGCAAAGGCAGTGGCCTTACCAAGCCCAGAAGTAGCCTGCGATCAAAATCCAACACCAAACATAAGAACAAACTCTAAATTTGGAAATGGAGGCATTACTTTACATGACAACATTCAATGAATGATTCACACAGCATTAATTACACAAATGGGTAAATTTTTGAGCCAAAGATACTTTGTTCTAAGCAAATAGTAAAGAGCACAACTTTACTTGACTTACACCAGTGATAACACAAATGGGTCTCGAAGATCCAACCACTGAATTGCTGGAGACAGAAATGGGAGTAGATTTCGAGCCAAAGATTCTTGCTTTAAGCAATTGCAAGTAAGAAGAAACAAGAGCGAAACTCCAAAACAGACCCATCCTCCAAAAATCAGATGAACATACGAAACGAAAAGCATCCTTCACGTCTTTCATCTGAAACAAACAGAACAAAAATCTCGAAATATGAACCGAAAAGACTCGAAAGAAAAATCTCGAAACTTTGAAGAAAGACAGGATTTGGAGTGAAAGTTGCTTCATTTTCTTTACTACTACTTTGAAATCAAAGGTTTGTTCTTGACGCAAACATTAACTTCTCGCCTCGACCAAATCGACCAGACTGGCCACAGACCACAGTGAGGGAGAAGGAGTAAAGATTCGGATTTGATTAGATCGGGAAAACGGATTTTGCGCTTTTTTCTATCTTTTTTGGTTTCAACTTTTCTTATTCGGTTT